GAAGGAAGGAAGCAGCTTAGAAAAATGGAAGGAAGCAATGGTCAGTTAAAACTCTTAGGTGAATGGAAGACTTTATAAAGGAAGAATCCAGCTGATAATACCTGAACTTGACATCACAAAAAGAGAGACAACCAGACATTATGTGCACCCTGACACAACATGAGGTATTCTACGCACCTATGTGTGAAGTGTTCTTGTCAAGAAAGTGAACATGACCTTGGTGAAGCCGCTACATCAGAACTGTCCAACACAAATTTCTGCAATGATGGAAATGTTTTTGTGTGCTATCCAATACTACATCTAATACCATAGCCATTAGCCAATAGCCACTTAGCTATTAAGCACTTAACCTGTGAGACTGAGAAATTGACTTTTAAATTTTAGTTAATTTTAATTACAGTAAGTCCCCTACAAACAAGTTCCCTTCTGAGAGCATGTTTGTAAGTCCAATTTGTTTGTAAGTCCAACAGTGTTAGCCTAGGTACCCAACTAACACAATCGGCTATATAGTACTGTAGTGTAATAGGTTTATAATACTTTTCACACAAATGATACATTAAAAAAACACAAAACATAAAGAAAGCATTTTTAATCTTACAGTACCTTGAAAAGTACAGTAGTACAGTACAACAGCTGGCGCCTCTTAGCTGTACCAGCTACATCACCTCTGCTTTTACGCTTGTTTCTGGACATCCTGGGCTTGAAATAAAGATACTGTACTACTGTACTCTATACAGTAAAGTACACAAAAGCACAACCACTTGTAGAGGATGCAGACACATGACAATGTACGTGAAACACGTGAACTAACGTGACTGGACATGTGAACACAGTTCGCATCTTTGAAAGTTTGCAACTTGAAGTTCATATGTAGGGGACTTACTGAAATTTAAATTTAAGTAGCCACATGTAGTTAGTGGCAACCACACTTGACAGAGCAGCTGTAGGTCTACTAATTTATAGAAAGGATAGGGGATAAAGGGACACGTTAAATGATAACACATCTCAGTGTGTAACGTGTAGACCTTGTTTGGATCCTTATTCAAACAAACCAAACATAAGAGACAACTGGGGAAATCTGAACTGGATAATTCATAATATTAGGAATTATTTAAAATTTTTACTTGTATCAATGATATTATGTTTAAGCTTTAAAAAATTGTTCTTTCTCCAAGATTCATACTTTAGTATATAAGATGAAAATGTATATGTCTGGGATTTTCTTTAAAGAATCCATCAGAGGGACTCCCCTGGTGGCACAGTGGTTAAGAATCCATCTGCCAATGCAGGGGGCATGGGTTTGAGCCCTGGTCTGGGAAGATCCCACATGCCGCGGAGCAACTAAGGCCGTGTGCCACAACTACTGTGCCTGCGCTCTAGAGCCCGCGAGCCACAACTACTGAAGCCCTAGAGCCCGTGCTCTGCAACAAGCGAAGCCACCACAATGAGAAGCCCGCACACTGCAATGAAGAGTAGCCCCTGCTCGCTGCAACTAGGGAAAGCCCACGCGCAGTAACGAAGACCCAATGCAGCCAAAAATATAAATACATAAATAAATAAATAAGTAAATTTATTTTTTAAAAAAAGAATCCAGCGGAGGTGGAGGGGGAAGGGTGGTGGGAGGGTATACATGAAACAAGATTAGCTATATGTTGATAACTGTTGAAGCTTGGTGTTGGGTATATGGTGTTCATCATCATATTCTTTCTATTTCTGTGCATGTTTGAAAATTTCCATCGCAGAATGTGTTAACAAATGAAGAGATAAATAAAACCTAGAATTAAAAGAATAGTATATATTTTATCCTATGGAATATTATACAACTCCTAAAAAGAATTTAATGGGCCTCTATATATTATACCATGGAAAGAAGGCTAAACCACATGAGATGAAGGGAAGTTGCATAACAATTACTATGGTCTGAATGTTTGTATCCCCTACCCCAAATTCATGTTGAAATCTTAAGCCCCAATAGTAATAATATTAGTAGGTGGGGCCTTTGGGAAGTGATTAGGTCATGAAGGTGGAGCCCTTGTGAATGGGATTAGTGCTTCTATGAGATTCTGCAGAGCTCCCCCTAGCCCTTTCCAACGATGTGAGGATACAGTAAGAGGTTTGCAACCTGGAAGAGAGTCTTCACTTGACCATTCTGGCAGTCTGATCTTGGACTACCAGCCTCCAGAATTGTGAGAAATAAATTTCTGTTGTGTATAAGCTACCCAGTGTTTTTTGATAGCAGTCTGAATGGACTAAGACAGCAATATAGAAAGTATGATCCTATTTATATAAACAGTAAAAAGATGCATTTATATGTACATATATTTGTAAGTAAATACCTGCCCTTTAACGTAGAAGTCCATTTCTTAGAACATATTTACAAAATTATTTTTAGACATCCAAAAGGATATATGTACAGATACTTAACTGTAGTGGTCTGCTTGGGCTGCCATAACGAAATACCACAGACTGGGTGGCTTAAACAACCAAAATTTCTCACAGTTTTGGAGGCTGGGAAGTCCAAGATGAAAGTCAGTGGATTCGACTCCTGGTGAGGGCTTTCTTCTGGCTTGCAGATGGCCTCCTTCTCACTATGTCTTCACACAGTGGAGAGAGAGAAAGCTCTGGTGTGTCTCTTCCTCTTCTTATAAGGGCCCTAGCTTATAGATTAAGGCCCATCCTTGTGACCTCATTTAACCTTTATCACCTTTTCCATGTTCTATCTCCAAACAGTCACATTGAAAATTAGGTTTTCAACTATGATTTTGGGGGGAACACAAATATTCAGTCCATAACATTTACGAAAGCATTATTTCTTATAGCAAAATTATGGAGACAATTTTTGTGTCCATCTATGGAGAAATGGATAGTTAAATTATAACATATCCATATTATGACTAGTTTGGACAAATGTCCAAAATATATTTTTGAGTATAAAAAGCAAGTTGAACAATATATGAATCACACACATTAAAAAAATACCCAAAAAACTCCCTAACTACATAATCCATCCCCCCCCCACCCCCGTTACATATAGTCTGGAAGTATAGTCATTCAACTACTAACAGTGATTAACCTTAGGGAATAGGAATGGGGATATGAAAAGAGGGGCATTTAACTTTTTCACTTGTATAAGCCTAAATACTTCTAATTTATTTAAAAGATAATGGGCATTCATTACATTTGTAAATCTGAAAAATGCAAAAAGTGGTTTTTTAAACCACTTGATTCCATGAGATATCTAAGTGCCTGAAATATTAAAACAGCAAACGTGTTTATATAACATGAGCTATGCCTCTCAAATGATTGCGGCACTGTGCAGAGCTGCATCGAATAATCATGGTCCAGAATCCAGAAACATATTACAAAGTAGTCCCAACTTTTACTTGCATGGGCTCAAAGAACATTAGCCCCTTCTCCACTATCCTGTAGCTCCTCTCTTGAGACTTTCTCATTCTAAACGTCTAAATCCTCCTCAGCCACAGTCCTGTCCTCTTTTTTTTATCAGCCTTCCTCAGTTCCTTTAAATAGATATCCTTGCAAGACTCAATTTTTCTCTAGCAATCGGTCACACTCTGCGTTTTAAAAGATCCAAGAACCAGGCTGGTGAAGACTTTTCTTCAATTGGGGGAAGGGAAAAGGTGAGGAACAGCTTAGTCTATTCACATATTGCAAGCATTGATTTCTCCAAATTCAGAACTGTCATTCTGTTAACTAATAATTGGGTCATGTGTATTATGGTTTATCTCAGGTAGATTGTATTCGGGTAGGGAATTACTGTCACTATTTTTATTCCTTACAGTACTTCTTTAATTTATTGTTTGGGCCATTGATGTAAAAAAGATACCTAGGGGAATCCTGGGCACCAGGGCCCCGGGGCTGCGGTTGGGGGAGGGATGGTCCTCAGTTTGTCAAAGTGTAGCTTAAGTTGCTCATTTCCAGGCTCACTTCCAAATAGTCTAATTAAGGTTTATGCATTTCTTACAAGTCATATGCCTTCTTTACAGGTCAGAACATTCTTAGAAATCCTGAGGATTCAGAACTGCACTGCCTTAGACACTGGACCCTCATATAATCCTCTGAGCTCTTTCAGTTGGATGTTAGTATTCGACTTCGAACTAGAGAACCCTGTCTATAATCACTTCATCTGTTTGGGCACCTTCCTAGCGGTCCGTTTCCTTGTCTGCAAAGCGGGGATAGTCGTGTGTGCCTCACAGGACGTTATGTGGGGACATGTTGTGGCTATATAGCCCTGTTAAAACCTTCTGTCTGGAGAAATCACCCAGGCTTGGTTCCTGCCCTGCTCATGTGGAAGAGGCCGACTTAGTCCCCTTTTGTCCCCAAATGACATAATGAGGAAGGATTTCAACTTCGAAGATGTTTGCTCAGAAACGACAGAACGATAAAAACAGAGTTGAATAAGTCTGGCCAGCAACTACATCTTTTCTCTCCAACAGATAATACTGCGTACGGTCCACTGTCTCTGGCACCTCAAGCTTTAACTTTGAGGAAACAATGAATTCTGCGCCCAGGCCTTCAGGCGAGTCAAAAAACCCGAAGTGGTTATGCTTGTTTGGAGGCCTGCGAGGCACGAGGAGACGGAGAAAGGTGAATCGAGCTGCTCTCTGACTCACAACTGGCTCGCCCTCCGTACCTAACACAGCTAACTGTTACCGTCGCCATTTTGCAGGGTGGGCTGCGCAGTCTCCTCTAGCAAGGCCCGCGCGCCTGAGCCGGAGAGGACGTGGAAGGCTAGAAGGCGGGGAACGCGCGCTACCGGGGGTAAGCACGCGTGCGCACAGGCGGCGGCTGCGGCGGAGGGGTGGGGCCGGGGTACGAGTGCGCGTGCTCGGTGGGAGCCCGCGAAGTACCTGGAGGAGGTGGGGGACGAGGTAGAAAGGAGTGAGGTTGAAGAGCGCTTGCGCGAGAGGGCGACCGTGCGGGGAGGGGGGCTCCGGAGCACAGGCGCGGAGACGGGACTTAAGGAGGTCTCGCGAGATCTCCAGGTTGCTATATATGTGCGCAGGGAGCCCGCGTCCTTTCCCTGGTCTGATTCCGTCCTGCGTGACTGTTCCTTCGAACGGTAGTCTTTTATCTCCGTCCGCTTTCTCTCCCACCGAAGTGCGTGCCACCAACCCATGGAAGATTCGATGGACATGGACATGAGCCCCCTGAGGCCCCAGAACTATCTTTTCGGTAACTGCTGGGGGGTTGGAGCGAGGCCGAGCAGGGCCTGCAGGCTTTGGTGGGGGGGCGGGATCCCACTGAGGCCTGGGTTAGCGAGGAAAGCTAAGCAGGCTGGAGGCCTGAGGGAGTGGGAAGCGAGCAGACGGGGTCCTGCCGCCTACAGGATGGGGACCCAGGAGGGGCGAGCCGGAAGCACGGAGGGGGGTGGGAAGGAGGGGCGGCCTGAAGGCTGAGGCGTCAGCGGTCCGAGGCCCAGGGCCTGAGGTAACGTGGAACCGACCGGCTGAGGGTTCGGCCGTTACGCGGGGCCCATGGTGGAGCTCCGGGCACAATTATTTTCTGGGGTTTTGTGAGTTGGTAGGCTTCTCATTCCGGGCGGGTGCCTGAGGCTGAGCTCCGCGTTGGTGGTGTAGGAGGTTTTGTGGGTTCGTGGTGTGAGGAGGCTTGGGCCTCCTTTCTGGACGAGAGGAACAATTGAGCATGGCGTTGTCCTCAGGCCTCAGGGTCAGGAGCTCTCGACCGAGCTTCGGCCCCGGTGCCTCGGCTGGTTGCTGGGGGCAAGGGAGGTGCGACCCGGCCCGGCCCGGCGTGAGGAGGCCGCGACCGCTGGGGAGCACGTGGTTGCCACGTGGTTGGGGGAAGGAGGGGGGTGTGGGCGCTGCATCCGGGGCTCACTGGTGTCTTGTCACCCCCGGGCCTGGGGTCCTGGGGCTTCATTGAGGCTGGTGGGCCGGAAATGTTAGGTGAAGTGGTTGGTAGCTCCAGGACTCTTGGAAGTCTTTTGTTCGGTGCTTAACATCTATGCTGGTAGTTCTCATTTAGAGAATCCTCTTTCTGTTTCACTGCGTCCACCTCGCAGAGGAGGTACTGCCGCTCAGAGAACCGAAGTGGCTTAACGAAGGTTGCACTTGTAGGAAGAGACTACATCTAACCCCATGACCCTTGCCTCCAGATCTGATGCATTACAAATGATTTGGGGTGGGGGCTGGCGGAGGCCAGAATTACAATTAAACTTGTAATTCTATGCCAGGGTTTTGGAATTTCCCCCCTCGAGCACACCAAGTACCATACTAAGGGGCCTTCGTTGGTTTTTCAGTCTCACTAAACTGAATTGTTGAAGCCTTTGTGTCAGGCTTTAGTTTAAAGTAAGTGCAAATCCTGCCCCAAATTAATTTTGTTTCCTTATATACTATGCTGAGATTTGTTAATTGAGCAATAACAGTTAAGCATCTATTCCAGTAACTATTAGGTGACAACTAAATGGGACTATTTAAATTAAATAAAGTTTAATTCTGATGGTATTTAAGACAATTTGCTTTTTCATGAATGGTAGTAGTAACATGCACTATGCATTAAGGCTTTTATTTCTAGCATTTTGAAAAGCTGGCGTTTCTGATCAGTTTACATCAAAATTTATATCAAAATTTTTGTGTTAACTCTTGCTATTGGAAGTATCCCTAGGATATTTCTATTGTCTTAAACATAATTTCTGAACAGAATTTAATGTACATCATTTCTGTTACTTCGAAGATGGAATGTTGACCCCTGTAATGAGTTTTAGTTCTTTTACATTTGTAGTTTTTCTGTTGTAAATGCAAGCTGTTGATGTAGGTGTTTGTGTAACCATTGTCATTTCTAAATTTGGCACCTGGGAGTTTTGGTAGGTAATTCAACTTCAAAATAATATATATATATATAATATATATATATATAAAATATATATGGGATTTTATCAACATTGTATGTTAGGGTTGGTTTCAGTTCTAGGTTTACTAAATTTTTGATTCTGTTTCTACATGAGAATAGTAGTATAGTTGAGCATAAAATAATGTAGTGGGAAGTGGAATTTATAAAGCTCTGTATGGATGTTATTTGATGTTTATATTTTGTGTTCAAGAAATCCAGGAAGAGGTACTTCTGCCTTGCCTTTTGGTAGCTAGAATAGTAAAAATTAGTTCACAAGTTAACTTTTTGGTTACACACACTGAATTTTTAGTGTTATTTTTCTCCTTGTTATAGTTGAATTTTTTCTTCATTTACAGGTTGTGAACTAAAGGCCGACAAAGATTATCACTTTAAGGTGGATAATGATGAAAATGAGCACCAGTTATCTTTAAGAACGGTACTTAAACTTTTCAAAATAAACTACTTAACATTTGATTTCAGTCTCTTAGTTCCTATTCGTGTGGATTAATACTTACTTTACAGCAGTATTTTTCTTTCCTTATTTATGTTCTTCGCTTCTACAGTTGTATTAAAATGCCCTTCAGGGTAGTGATAAATATAAATCTTATTTGTTCTCCACAGACACTAGCCTATAGCCTACTACTTAACTTCTAGGTGGCCAGTAAAAGGTGGTTTGTACTTAGGCATGGGTGATGACATAAACATCTTTGTCATCAAATGCATTTTTATGTAATTGTTAAGATTTACCAAATATGAGAAATTGTCAAAGTCACATAAAACTTGAAAACAACATTGTGCTCAAGTCAGTTTCCCATCAGTGGTAATAATGAAAGGTTTATAATTGTTCTGATTTTTTAAAACAACTGGTTGGGGGGGTTGTAAAATGGTGGAAACTTAAGTTGAAGTACTGTTCTTCTATTCACAGGTCAGTTTAGGGGCTGGTGCAAAGGATGAATTGCACATTGTCGAAGCAGAGGCAATGAATTATGAAGGCAGTCCAATTAAAGTAACACTGGCAACTTTGAAAATGTCTGTGCAGCCAACGGTAAGGGCACATTTACACTTTGGATTTTATGTCAAATTCTGATTCTGTTGCCTTAAGGTGAGTGTCATTTAGGTTACAAGGAGATTGGGGAATTTGGTTTGGTTTTTTCCTAGTAGTCACAGCTGCATATTCTGTCACTGGTGTTGACTGATCATCGTGGTGGTAGCTGCTTGTTTATCAGAGGTGGAAAAAACAGGTTCACTGATTTGTTCATTTGGCTTATGGGTTTGCTTGTTCAGAAACATTTTTAAGTTATGAACAGATTTTATACCTAACATGTAACCATTTTTTTCCCCCACAATATTTAGTGATTTATAATTTCTTCTTTTTAGGTTTCCCTTGGGGGCTTTGAAATAACACCACCTGTGGTCTTACGGTTGAAGTGTGGTTCAGGGCCTGTGCATATTAGCGGACAGCACTTAGTAGGTATGTTATTTTTATGTTATGATGCTTATTTTTAATGCAGTTACTTTGTTCCCAATTTGGACTTTATAAAGTATGCTTAGTTCTAGTACGGCTGTCTGTAATAGGTTCAAGTGGGAATCTAGGGGCTTCCCTGGTGGCGCAGTGGTTGAGAGTCCGCCTGCCGATGCAGGAGACACGGGTTCGTGCCCCGGTCAGGGAAGATCCCACATGCTGTGGAGCGGCTAGGCCCACGAGCCTGCGTGTCCGGAGCCTGTGCTCCGCAATGGGAGAGGCCACAACAGTGAGAGGCCCGCATACCACCAAAAAAAAAAAAAGAGAGAGAGAGAATCTAGTAATTTATAACCAGAAGAGCCTGGTGTTTTGCATGTAAAACCTAGTAATGAGTATTAGTCCACCAAATTCCTTTTAAAAAATTTTGTTCTTTTTTTTTTTATTTTTACTGTTTTTCTAATAGAATCTGAGTTTTAAAATACTCATTACTGTGTCTTATCAGTGCCCTTTTTTCTGAGTTCTTGCTGTTGGTTGAATTTTAATAGTGGCTAATAAAGAATTTTACTTTAGCTGTGGAGGAAGATGCAGAGTCAGAAGATGAAGAGGAGGAGGATGTGAAGCTCCTAAGTATATCTGGAAAGCGTTCTGCCCCTGGAAGTGGTAGCAAGGTTCCACAGGTACAGATGCAATTTACTATACATAATTTATTCTGGCCTTTAGTTTGGTAGTTTGGATTAGTACTTACTTACGAGTGTGTGTCCAATTATTTTTTTAAGAAAAAAGTAAAACTTGCTGCTGATGAAGATGAAGATGATGATGATGATGACGACGATGATGATGAAGAGTAAGTAGTATGCCCTTAGAAACCTGACATTGTTGTATGGGGGGTTATAAAAACGATTTACCAAAATCATGATTAGTGGTTGTCAGTTTGTGTTAAATGAGCTGAGTTAAAGGATGGAATATGCAGCACTTCCCAGATGTATTTGACTAGGTGCCTTTTTTCTGAGGAGGTTTAGTAGACACATTACTGTATGCTAAGTCTGTATTTTACGCTGAACAGTTTATAATAAATGGGTTGGGCATAAAGAGAATCTGAATAGTTCCAGCTATATTCATTTTGTAAGTTGTCACTTGAGGATTTTTTTTCCCCACAAAGGATTTTGGCATATGGTTGTCCTGGTCCTTATGAGAAAATTAGATTCTAAAAGAGAATAGGATTTTGCTGGAGAACTTAAAATTTGGTTGTAAACAAGATTTGATATGTTTGTTAAACTAGGTCAGATTATGGTAAAGTTACAAACACGCTATGAAATAAAATGCTCCTCATAATTAGTCTTTCCTATATGCAGCCATATCAGAAATTTATTAATATTGAATTTTTAATTGCTTGTCAGCTTTGTTCTTGAGTTCTCAGGTTGGTCCAATATATATTTACTGAAAACAATTGAAATGGAATCTAAGACTCTGAGAGAACATGCACTAATTTGATGATCAGATCTGCAAAGTAGGTTTTCAGTGACCTCAACTAGCCAAGCTGGTAGCCCTTTAAAAAGGCCTTTGAGCATGACAGTGGAAGCAGAAAATAGGAAAGAGTTGAATGCTTAAAAAATTCAGGGGGCTTCCCTGGTGGCACAGTGGTTGGGAGTCCACCTGCCAATGCAGGGGACACGGGTTCGTGCCCCTGTCTGGGAGGATCCCACATGCCGCGGAGTGGCTGGGCCCGTGAGCCATGGCCGCTGAGCCTGTGCGTCTGGAGCCTATGCTCCGCAAAGGGAGAGGCCACAACAGTGAGAGGCCCGCATACCACACACACACACACAAAATTCAAAATTACCTGCATGTTAAACTTATAAACAAACTCAATATAGTTGGTGTTTGTTACTATTTGACTATGCCTGAGCTTTGGAAGATTTCCTGTCTTTAAAATGGGGATAATTTCTGATGTAACTACAGTGTAAATAGTTTACGTTCATGTCTTCCATGTCTTCTCTAAGCTGTCTTTTAAGTTAGGTGGTGAGGGAGGAATGAAAAGTGTAGATGGTGACAAGGTCCAAATCGGTAAGTTTTCATAAAAGGGAAAAAAGGGTAGTCAGATACATGTATAAGTAGAGGCAGTTAATGGATCCCTTGAGGATAACAAGTCTTAGAAGATTCCATTGGTTAGGGGGCAATGAAAACGTTAAGAGGAGCCCCAAGGTTTGTTAGTTAAAAGTAGTTATTATGTGGAAATTGTAAGCCATAATCCAAGAAGGCTTGGAACCCACAAAATAAAAGGCAGATCAGTTGGTTCTGTTCTGGGGATGGAAGGGGTATGGTATGGGGTTGGTTGACTGCTGTTGATGTAAGCAAGAAAAGCTGAAGACCATGTAGTACATTAAAAGTTAGTATGACCAACACAACATTGTTAATCAACTATACTTCAATATAAAATAAAAAGTTAAAAAAAAAGTTAGTATGGCTTACAGATACATCCTGGGTGGATTATTCTGGGTGGCCAGGGAGCTATAAGGGGTGACTTAGGAGGACAGTTTTTAGGGGGCCCTGAAAATGTTAGGCGTTCAAGCATGGCTGGCATGGGGCCCCCGTGGGGCCAGAGTGGCCATTCCCCAAGTGGCTCATGGTTATGGCTGGGTCCTGGGGCAGCATGGGCTGTGCTTTCTTACAAGTTCAGTGTTGTTTCCACAGGGGCCAGATCAGGTGAGGGGGTGGTGGAGAGTGTTCCTTGTTTTTCATTGAGGTGGCAATGGGATTTGCCTAGGTGCCACCCAGGAAAATATCTGTTACTTAAAAAATAAAGGGTGGTTCTCCATAAACACCCTTTTCCCCTATTTTATTAGGGAATATCCTAATAAAACTGCTTACAGTAGTGGTTTTATAGAAACCATTGTCATCTTTTTTTTAGTGTGGGGTAGCCCATGCAGGTATTGGGTGCTAGGGCCAAAATTGACAAATCACTGTTAAAAATTACTTAAAAGACGTTATATGCCTTTAAATATATACTACATGGTATTTTATCCAGTTAACATAGCAGATTTTTTACCCCTGTATTGGAAAGAAGTGTTTCTTTGGTTGCACATGGGTGAAGTTACTCCTGTTTTTTATTTAGACTATGTAGTGTGGAAGAGAAACCATTTTGGCCAGTATATAATGTTTGGTTTGTGAAGTAATTACAATTTAAACCAATTCCACCATTTGCTGATTCGTACTTATTCGTGGACTTCTCCAGTGATTGGATTTTTTCCCCCCAAAAAAATCCTCCATTTAGAATGTACAGTTTGGTGCTTTATAGTGTATATGCACAGTTGTGCAGCCAATTTCAGAACATTTCATCACCTCAGAAAGAAACTATGCTATAACCCCTCATCTTCCCCAGCTCTAGTCAACCACTAATGTACTTTTTGTATTTTATATATTTGCCTGTTTTGGATATTTCATATAAATGGAATCATACAATATGTGCTCTTTTGTGGCTGGTTTGTTTAACTTATCACAATGTTTTGTGGGTTTTTTTTTTTGCGGTACGAGGGCCTCTCACTGTTGTGGCCTCTCCCGTTGCAGAGCACAGGCTCCGGATGTGCAGGCTCAGTGGCCATGGCTCACGGGCCCAGCCACTCCGCGGCATGTGGGATCTTCCCGGACCGGGGCACGAACCCGTGTCCCCTGCATCGGCAGGCGGACTCTCAACCACTGTGCCACCAGGGAAGCCCTATCACGGTGTTTAAGATTCATCCTTGTAGCATGTAGCAGTACTTTTACTCGTTTTGTATTATTGAACTGTAAGAACTTTTTATATATTTTGGAAACAAATCCCTTATCAGGTAGAATTTACAAACATTTTCTCCCATTCCATGGGTTGTCTTTATACTCTGTTGGTGGTCCTTTACAGAAAAACTTAAATTTCATAAAGTTTGGTTTATTTCTTTTATTGTTTTCGGTGTCAGACCTAAGAAACCATTGCCAAATCTTCAAAAAGTTTTATAGTTTCCGCTCTTACCTTTTATCCGTTTTGAATTGATTTTTGTATCTATTGTGAGGTAGGAGGCAGTTTTATTTTTTTTTTTTGATTGTGGATATCCAGTAGTCCCAGCACCATTTGTGAAAGACTTTTCCCCATTGAATGGTCTTTGCCCCCTTTTTGAAAATAGTTACCATAAATGTATATTTACTTTTGGACTCTTCAGTTCCATGTCTATCCTTCCGCCGGTGAAACATTATTCTGATTTCTGTTGCTTTGTACTTTTTATAGATTTTAGTTTGTAATTACTTAATGTGAATGCTTCACCTTTGTTCTTTTTCAAGATTGATTTTGGCTACTTTGGGTTCCTAGAGTTTCAGTGTGAGTTTTAGGATCAGTTTCTATGGAGATACCAGCTAGGATTCTTTTAGGGGTTGTGTTAAATCTGTAGATTAATTTGGAGAGTTGCCACCTTAATATTTACTGGTCCATGAATTTGGAATGTTTCTATTTATTTTAATTTCTTTAAATAACTTCATTTTCAAAAATTTATTTTCAGTTGTAAAAAACATAACACCATATTTCCCATCTTAACTGTTTTTTAAGTGTGCAGTTCAGTAGCGTTAATCATAATCACATTGTTGTGTAACATCTCAAGCTCATCTAGTTACACTGAAAACCATAACCGTTGAACAAAAAGTCCCCATTTCCACCTCTCCCCTGCCAGCCACCAGTCTACTTTTGGTTTCTATAAAGACTGATTCCTTTAGATACCTCATATAAGTGGAATCATACAGTATTTGTCTTTTGTGACTGTTCTTTCACTTAGCATAATGTCCTTAAGGTTCATCCATGTGCTACATTTGAGGATTTCCCTAAGACTGCATATTCCCTGATATATATACGTATATGACATTTTCCCTACAATTTGTTGATGAACATTTGGGTTGCTGCTTTTTTGGGAGTGGGGGGCGGGTTGGCTCACACCGTGCTGCATGCGGGATCTCTTAGTTCCCCAACCAGGGATTGAACCTGTGCCCCGCTGCAGTGGAAGTGCGGAGTCCTGACCACTGGACTGCCAGGGAATTCCCTGGGTTGCTTCTACCACTTGGTAATTGTGAATAATGTTGCAGTGAAAATGAATTTGTGTTCAAGATTGTGCTGTCAGTTCTTTTGTCAACCCACAAAAGTTTGAAAGCTCTTCATGCTTTGAATGACTAAACTTGTAGGTTCATCCACTTTCTGGATAAGCTTTCTAGATTTGTTGAGTGCATTGAATCAGTAATAAGGACTTATTTCATTTGTAGTGATGATGATGATGACTTTGATGATGAGGAAGCTGAAGAAAAAGCTCCAGTAAAGAAAGTAAGTAAGATACAGTAGTATAAGATTATCAGAAATAGCTAATAACAAAATGATGGGAATTTTTGCCATTGGCTTGTTTTGTGGTTATTGAAAATTGTCTTAGGAGAAGATGATCTCATACTTCAAATTTTTCTTGAGTAGGGCTATCCTGGAAACTTTTCTAATAGTGGGGAATTATCTATTTTCTTTATATAGCCTTCTGTCTGTTTGTTAACCCTTTTGTAATCTTTTGTCGAAATGGTTTTCTCTTAGCCTGACTGCTGCTTTTGCCATGGTTTGGGGCAGTTTCATTTGTACTAATATGTCTGTTATGTAGGGAGGGGCATTGACTAAGATTAATTTGTAATTGCAGTCTGTACGAGATACTCCAGCCAAAAATGCACAAAAATCAAACCAGAATGGAAAAGACTCAAAACCATCAACACCAAGATCAAAAGTAAGTGGTAACATACAAATACAAGCTCCATTGAAGTAGTTAGGTTCTTCTGTGGAAGAATCTACTTTTAAAAATTTGGTAGGTCTTTGGAGAACGCCTGTAGCTGGTGTCGAAGAGCTAAGATGTGATTATTTTATTGGTAATCACTGTCATATAGTTAGACAGTTGACCCTTGAACAACATAGGTTTAAACTGCATGGGTCCATTTATCACAGTTTTTTTTTTTTTTTGTAAATGCTACAGTACTGCATATCCACGTTTGGTTGAATCTGGATGCAGAGGAACCACAGATGTGGAGGGCCGACAAGTTATACACAGATTTTTGGCCACGTGGAGGGCTGGCGTCACCTGTTGACATTCAAGGGTCAACTGTATATTGCCATGGCTTTCTAATGGGGGAGAAAGCCGACAAAGATTTTTATTGTGGTACAAACAGTTGTGTCATATAAGGGTTCTTGCTTGTTGAAAGGTATGTTTATCGCATAGTGCAGTTTCTGGTGCTGGCCGCATGTTGGGAGATTATCATTTAAATGCTATGGAATGGGCCCCAGGCATCAAGCTGCGGTAACTTTGTTGCTTCATTCTTGGGGACCTTCTGGTTTCTTTTTTTGATAATATACTTTAAGTGTAGAACTGACCTTGTGTTGAATATAAATGCAGGCTCAGACTATTTCCTATTCCTTTCTTAAGCAATAATTTAAAAATAATTGTTGAGACATGAATTCATTTAACTCAATTCTGGTGTATACTTGTTTTTACAAAGGACTGTAAGAATTGTGTTGAGAAAATCCAGGTAGAGTGGGTCTTAAGAGTTCTTATGATGTTAAAATTCGCCTTTTTTCCCAGGGTCAAGAATCCTTCAAAAAACAGGAAAAAACTCCTAAAACACCGAAAGGACCTAGCTCTGTAGAAGACATTAAAGCAAAAATGCAAGCAAGTATAGAAAAAGTGAGTAAAATTGTCTTCCTTAAAGGAACTAAATTGGTAATTTTACCTTTTTGGGGTTTAGAACAGGACTCTTCCTCATTTTTTATAGTTAATATACTTGCCCTTGTGTGAAATTATCTCAAAAATGAATTACTAGTTACTTACATTAATTTATAGTCTCTGTTGATTTTTTTGCATATTTGAAGTGACATATGCTTTATTTTCCATTATAAAAGGAATACAAGTAAGTTGATTGTAAGATATATTCTTACCTTAGATGTTAAAATGAGAGCATTTCCCTTCACCTGTTCTGGTCATGAGATGCCACAGTACCAGCAGAGGGCGTTTGAGTCTTCTAAAATTGCAAACAGCTAGAAAAGTAGTCTTTGGCCGCTTGGTGTTGTAGTTTTAAAAAAAATTACTTGTGTTTGACTGTAGTCAGAAACATTCTTCAACAAATTGAGTCATTTCTATTTGCCATTTGCACCAAGATGTCACCAGGCAATACGTGTGGTAATATCTTGAATTCTTGAGTGACTAACGTGTTTACATTTAGTCTCCTTTTGTCTTAGTGGAAATGTGTGAAAAGAGGATTAGCTTTTGTCCTACTTGCCTTGCTTGATTTGGGGTGAGGGGGATGCACTTAGTAAACTTTAGTGAACTCTGGAGTATGGAGTAATTGGTTTTAATGCCTTGAAACACATTTGAGAGAAACTTTAAAATTCTGTGAATATTCTCAGACCCCAATTATTGAGAATAAATGCGGGATGGTGAGGAAAAGTTACTGACTCCCTTTCCCTATGTTTTTTCTGTGCTCTCTAGGTTCTACATGGCTTCGTAGATTTCCTTTCATTGGGCAGTTATGAGTCAGTTGGAAAACTAACATTTTAGAACCAGAATGTATTTCTTGATTTTGCTTTAGTACTACTGTAAACCTTTTAGCCTTCCTGGTATCGCTGCTTTATTTTTATCCCTTGCGTACCGTTCTAAAATGACATTTTAGATACCCCTCCCCCTAATTTTAATATGGTCCTATCTCCTTGGTTTAATTGCAGGCGCATTGAACAATCCTGGGCACTACTGGTAAATTAAGCCCAAAGATGGGGAGAGAGGAAAAGGAGAGACAAATATAGTCCAAACTGAGTATCATCAACAATCCAGACTGAAGTCTTCTATTTTAACTCAATCCCCTTTCCTGTTTTGCCACCCACCCATGCCCCCCTTCCAGGCTGGAAGCAATCTCTTGATCTCCTAAAACACTTTCTTTTGACTGCTGTGATCCAGTGAACCTTATACTTTGCTTTCTATTCCTTGTGCATTTGCCTCACCTCTTTGACCGTATTTTAATCACCTTTGTATCTCCCTAGCTGCTCAATAAATATTTGAATCAAATAAGAATGTATGTGACAATAATTTAAAAGTGTAAATTATAGTGAGGTTTATTTTCTAGGTGATGAGGCAGTTAAGTATCTTACACCATACCTGAAGCCTTCTTGATCCTTTTAAAATGCACAGAAGATTCAGGTTACAAGGAAAATCAAAATTCAGTTATCAAAATAGGAAACAAAAGTGAAAAAATTAGTGTGTTAAGGTAATTCCAGAGCAGAGATAAGTATAAACATTTCAAGATTTTTGAAAATATTTGGTGACATATACTTTGAAAATAATTTGGTGTTACTACTATTGTGCTTTCTTCCCTGTGTCCATAATTGAAAGGAATGGCGAAGTTTAGAGTTTAGTGAAATGTATTTGGTCCTGGGTGGTAGAGGATGGTGATAAAGCCGACTTGTTAGATAAATACAGTAGGCAGTCAAGTTGATGGTTGAGTTCCTGAAGAATCACAAGCATAGCTTATACTTCGTGTTTTTAGAGTGGCTGGGTGGGGGCAGGGAATTTGAAACTTGGACAAACCTTATTCAGTATGAGAGTACTTCTGGAAGACCTAGGTCCTAATATGTTATACAAACATGTCTTTCTAGGCCTAAAAAAGGATTTATTCAGTATTAAAATGAAGGAGTTGAAGAGACAAGGAATGAATCACAATGATCCATATAATAAACAGCACTCAAATCTTTGAGGAATTTCTAACAATCTCCCTCAAAAACAATGTTTCTATACTTACCCTTAATAATGCTTTTGTCTCAATAGGGTGGTTCCCTTCCCAAAGTGGAAGCCAAATTCATCAATTATGTGAAGAATTGTTTCCGGATGACTGACCAGGAGGTAACTGAACTTTGTTGGAGACATGATCAAATCCAAAATTTTTATTGTGACTTATTATGGCTATTTGTTTAGTCTCTTTAGGTGTTGGCTTCTTTTAAAATGTTCCTAACCACAGACAATACTTCAGATTAAATACATGGAAACTCTTAAGAATTTAGTTGGCAGAGACTGAGGAGATAACTTTTTTAGTACATTTTTCCCAGCTTTTATATAGTTGGTAAATTATCTCTTGGTTACTGAACTCAGTTTTGCTTTTGGTACTATGTTGGCTAAGGAAATGAGCTGCGGTTTTCCTTGCTGCTCCATTTGGCTACTTGGGTCAGTCTGTTCTTTGCTTTCTTGTGAGTTGGCAGAGATGATTTTCTCCATAGATGTTATGAGAAGCACATTTTGCTGAAATCAACCGAAGTGTAAAATCAGTTGAGTTAGATCTTGTATTTCTTAATGTGAAGAAGGTATTTTGTCAATAGAAGAAAATTTTTATTTTCTAAATAAATATTCTATTTATTCTAAAAATAAATTTATTTTTACTGTCTTATTTATAGTTGCTGACTCGCAGATTATAAAGGAAAATGTAAAAGCAGTTACACAGGGTTGCTAGGCATCATGTACATACAGGACATATTCTGTGTTTAATGGTTTTTGTCAGTGCTCCCTAAGTCTCCTGTATTCAGCTTTCTTCAATAAATTAAATTTGTTATTTAGAGATCTTTTTCTACCACAGTATTTAGTACTTAAATCACTTAAAATGGCAGCACTATTTTTCTCAGTTTGAAACCCTTTCAGTGGTTTAATACTCTTTACTTGTTTATTGTGAATTCAGCCTTCCTTGTTGTGGTCACGAGATGACCAGTTTCAATCTTTTCGATTCTTTTCGTTGCTATTCTGTTTTTGTGTATATTTGAATCCCAAAAAGCCAGTGTAAATTATGTGAATTTTCTGCGGACATTGAGTAAACGTAAAAGTCCTTTTAAAACTATGCAGTGTGTAATTGTCAATTCAGTATTGAAAATGGTAGAAAGTGAGATATATAAACCATCATCTATAACAGGTAAGCATAAGAGATATATAATTTTTTCAGCTAATACCAAAGGAAGTGGTAAAATAAAATTTTTGATTAAGAAAAATTCACGTGAAGATAAAGTAACTAAAGTTGCAAGGGCCTTCCAAACAGCGTAACATCAGTCTTGCAGCTGAAAATGACTGAATTCACTGCTATCAGAAATATTTTCTGACTTAAAAACTGAAAGCTGTTTTCAAGTGCCAGGATGAAATTTCTGCAATAATAAAAAATATATCTCAGTTTACTATTATGAAATTATCAAAACACTGAATATGTCACATTTTTATGGCATAGCTGCAGATGTAAGTAATCACAATGTGTAAAATACCTTCCCATTACTTGTGCAGTTTATCTTCTGCAAAAGAGTTGTTTATGAGGATTTGGCTAATAAAATCCAGATGGAACCTGAGAAATAATAGCAAATTTTTGCAGAAACTCTTGAATTTAAAGAGTTAATGAAAAAAATTGTACTGCCTTTTGTGGAAAGACTACAGATAAAAACCTTGCTGAATGTTTATATAAAGGTGCAAGCAGTATTTACTCGAAGTTGAAGCAAAACATGATGTATTCGAAGGTGTTTTCTGTCCCATTCAATATTCTATATAATACGTAAGTCAAGTAGCATCTGGCTTTTTTTTTTTTTTTTACATTAGAGTGTCATGAAAATGTTCTTCAGTATTTGTATTCAACGTAATGATCAGCGAATGACTGATATTTGTTGACATGGTATTCAGTTCTCTTGCATTTGAAATCCAATGGCTGTGTTTAAAAACAGTATTTAAGAAAATCCTATTTATTTGAAGCACTGAAACACTTTGAAGAAAAGGCCCCCAAAGTTCTTTTAAATAATCCATTGAGTGAAACCTGCTTATTTAAATGTCTCTTCAGCAGTAGGACCACGTAAATTAAAAGAAGAGAAAAGTCATTGAAGTTCTCCATTGCTTTAAAAGAACTTGTTGAATCCTTTGAACAGTTGACAAAAACATCAAGACTTTTTTTTTTTAAGAGGCATTATTCATGAATAGGAAAAGAAACACCAACTTGAAGTAGATAATTAATACTGCACTTACATGATTGTCATTTGAAATGTTTTTTATCACTTGAAGATTTTGGCTCTTTTACATGGATGTTACTAAATACCAGCATGAGAACAAGTAGAATGAATTATATGTTGAAGAGGGATGTAGAAATTGATGAGGGATCTCTTCTTTTTGGTCATTGGACAATATTTTTTTATTTTAATTTTTATTTTTTATTATTATTTTTTTTGCGGTACGCGGGCCTCTCACTGCTGTGGTCTCTCCCGTTGCGGAGCACAGGCTCCGGACATGCAGGCTCAGCGGCCATGGCTCACGGGCCCAGCCACTCACAGCATGTGGGATCTTCCCAGACCGGGGCACGAGCCCGTGTCCCCTGCGTCCGCAGGCGACTCAACCACTGTGCCACCAGGGAAGACCTGGATAATATTTTAAATCATTAGACTTGAAGAATGGAAAAGCAAGTTAGTCATGGAAGATGGTGTTCTGTGTTTCAGCAAACCAGAAGAGCTTGTCTGAGTAGCTAATATGGCAGAACATGTTAAATGTATATAGTGTCTCATAATGCTAATGCTAGTATGTGTTCTTATTAATGAAATAATTTGGATGTGACCACTGTATAAACTTAAAATGTAAACAAAATATAAGACTGTAATTAAGGAATTTTATTATGCAAAATAAGGAACTGTTGATCCCACATCATCAGGGAAATATAACTAGAGGTAAAAAAAGATGTAACTTTGGTATATTTATATAGTTTATTTCAGATAAGTGTACTTACTTTTATGTGTGCCGTGTACAGGTGCATGTTTTTCTCTAAATCTGGCAGCCTGAAAGCAGATAACATGGAGGCAACATTGGCCTAAATATCTAAGTTGTTAAATGTATATTAGTATAAAAGTGATTTTGCATACAAAAATCACATGATTTTATGCCTGAATCGAAGTATTTGAAATTAAATTATGCCTAAGTATAAATTTCCTTGAAATCAGTTCTTAATTATCTAGAGTGAACCTTTTTGGTGGTAGAATGAAAAATAGATATGTTGAATTGTACAGAGACGTGGTTTAATTTATTGGTGTGTATGAAGTGTTGTGGTTTTTTAACCACATTTCTTTTCTCTTTTTTTTTTTTCCAGGCTATTCAAGATCTCTGGCAGTGGAGGAAGTCTCTTTAAGAAAATAGTTTAAACAGTTTGTTAAAATTTTCCGTCTTATTTCATTTCTGTAACAGTTGATATCTGGCTGTCCTTTTTATAATGCAGAGTGAGAACTTTCCCTACCGTGTCTGATAAATGTTGTCCAGGTTCCATTGCCAAGAATGTGTTGTCCAAAATGCCTGTTTAGTTTTTAAAGATGGAACTCCACCCTTTGCTTGGTTTTAAGTATGTATGGAATGTTATGATAGGACATAGTAGTAGTGGTGGTCAGACAAATGGAAATGGTGGGGAGACAAAAATATACATGTGAAATAAACTCAGTATTTTAATACAGTAGCACTGTTTCTCTTTCTGTTATCCTCTTTGTACTTTGTCAAAGAAATACGTGTACATAGTAAAAGTGTCAAATAGTATTCCAAAATCTCTAAAATAGTATCCTGCCCTACCCCTCCAAATAGTTCTGCTTCTCAGAGTTAACCAATCTATTTTTCATCAAGAGGGCTTAGTGCTTTTACCTTACCACCTCTTGATAATAGTTAATTATAATCAAATGTTCATCAGACCTTCTTATCCACCTATCCTAGCCTTTTCACTCCCAAAGAAAATCTGGCATGTTAAATAGCCTGCAGCAGCCTTTCTCAACCTGGGTTCTTTATCTGAACCAGAACACAAAATTATTTCTGTGACTATTTTCTTAATTTATCCAAAATAGTACATATTTGAGATCCATAGGGGAAGTTAATTTATTGCATGTGGTGGTTATGTGAGGACATTCAGGGACTAAACCTTGGGACCCCTTCATCTGTTAGACCAGGATTCAATTGCATGATGGTCAGGGCTAGATTCCTGTTCTGCTTGTTTTGCTGTGGTATATCCTCCAGTAGTTTCCCAATAGATGGGGGAAGTATTCTGATTTTTTTTGCATACCTGAAAACATCTTGATTTTTGACATCAAATTACATGCTGCCTTGTAAGCCGAATCTTTTTCTCTGAATTTTGGGTGTGAGCTGCCTTTGTTGGCCTAGTCTATTCCATTTTTGTGTATTCTTTGTATATGACCGGTTTTTTTGAGAGCTAATTAAGATTGCTTTATTGCTGGTGTTCTGGAATTTTATGTGTCTTGTAGACTTGTTCTTGGGCCCTGGGTGGACGGTGGGTCTGTTCTCCAGAGATGCAGTTCTCTGGTCTGGGCCTTTTACTGGGGAGATTTTACCCTTCTACTTAACTCCCATCCATCCTTAGGCCTTCTGTTTGACTCTCTTGGATGTTTTTCTTCATTCCTTTTTGTTTAAACTTTAGGAGAGAGACTTTATTTTCTGTCTTCAAATTTGTGTTGCTTTTATTTTTTTTAACTTCCAAATGCTCTTGCTTGGTTCTTGGGATGCAGTATGTAGAGTCTGAAGAAACTTTTTCTCATTCCTTGCATTGTTTACTTGTTTCCCTCCCGCACCAGCCTGTTTATTTTATCTTTTATATTGATTAGGAGGGTGATACTTGTTGACTGGGCTCTAGTTTCAGATATTTTGATGGGGGTCTGCAGGTTTTAAGCCTTTCTATTTCTGGGGTGGTTTTCCAGAGTAAACTAGTTTTGGAGGGTGGGGGAAAATACTGGTGCAGTACTGTCTGGTCTAATCTCAAGTTTCCAGGTGTTGGGTTCTTCTACTCATTTACATTGTGGTTTTCTTCATTGATTATTCAGTTTCTTTTCTCCAGGCCATGTCTGTCCTTGTAGCTTATCTCTTAATGTCTTTATTTTAATGGAGGCACAGTAGGAGATGGTAAATACTCAGTGTTCTTTGTTTTTATGTACTTCAGATATAGAAGATCATCTGCTTTAAATTGATAGAACAATCCCAAATCACTTAACCATCCTATACATTAATTTGAAAAGTTATTGGTGTTCAAATAATGCAGGTACATTAAAGTTGAGTCATTCATTCCCTAGATAGTGTTTTTTATTATACTGTGTGATGTAGGAGTGTGGTAATTATTAGTAGTAGTCCCTTAACATGTTCAGAAGTAGAAATATACTTGCTGCATAATACTGTCTTAAACAAATAGTCTGAAATTTTTAATATTTGAGTTGCTTTGTATAGAAGTTAAACCTTAACTTTGGTTTACCTGATGGGCACTTTTATGTGGCAGGAAACCCAAAAGGACTTCTCACCATTCTGAGGGAAAGCAATCGGCCTTACTGGTTGTCCTGTTCCCAGCTCATTAAATAGAGCTAATCAGATCCAGATAGGGCTTCTGTTTTGGAAGCGCAGGAATTAAAGATTTCCCTGTGCCTCAGAAGTCACTAATAGTGCTAGTTATTAGACATCAGCTAACTAAACATGGTAGTAATCTGAAAGTTGAACTACTACTCTAGGTTTGTGACTTAGGAAATTCCTCTTCTAAAGAAGCTGACTTCCTGAAAGTAAGTGAGTGTCCTGAATTCAGTTTTTTTTACAGTATTTAAAAAAAAATTTTTTAATTGAAGTATAGTTGATTTACAGTGTTAATCTCTGCTGTACATAAGAGTGACTCAGTTATACACATATAGACATTCTTTTTTATTTTCCATTTGGTTTATCACAGGATATTGAATATAGTTTGCTGTGCTATACAGTAGGACCTTGTTGTTTATCCATCCTATATATAATAGTTGACCTCTGCTAATCCCAAACTCTGTCCTTCCCTCCCCCCTCCCCCTCAGCAGCCGCAAGTCTGTTCTCTATGTGAGCCTGTTTCTGTTTTGTAAATAAGTTCATTTGTGCCATATTTTAGGTTCCACATGTAAGTGATATCATATGGTATTTGTCTTTCTCTGACTTCACTTAGTATGATAATCTCTAGGTCCATCCATGTTGCTGCAAATGGCATTATTTCATTCTTTTTATGGCTGAGTACTATTTCATTTATACATGAACCACATCTTTATCCATTCATCTGTTCATGAATGTTTAGGTTGCTTCCATGTGAATAGTGCTGCTGTGAACATAGGGGTGGCATGTATCTTTTTGAATTATAGTTTTGTCAGGTAACTTTTTAGTTTTCTTCAGAACCTCCACTTTTCCATAGTGGCTGCACCAATTTACATTCCCATCAACAGTGTAGGAGGGTTCCCTTTTCTCCACCATCTGCAGCATTTGTTATTTGTAGACTTTTTAATGATGGCCACTGAAGTCATATTTTTATATATTTGTATTTCAATCCACTGTGTTGTATCTTTTTGGCCAACGGAATCCTTTTCAAGCTTGTTCCTACCATCACTGACTCCAGTAAGTAGTCTTTGATACAACTTCTTTTTCGCTTTCTAGTGTGACAGAATGTTCCAGGCTTATCTTGAACAAGATAAACAGCTTTTCTTTCTAGACCTGGAATGATCCATTTTTCCAAGGAGCTCTGGTTCCTTATTTAAAAAGAATGGCGTTTAGAGACCGCAGCCTTGGTGGGAGTGATACTCATTAATACTGAACCCAGTATTGTTTCGAAGACTTAACCTGGATGATCAGATCAGACCCTTTGGGAAAGCAAGGGGAACATTTTGAACACTAGGAGGGCAGAGACACACTTGTTGGCTGTCTGCAGGAAGCTTCTTTTCATTTGGTATCTTAGTATCTTTATCACATATGGTTAGGTTGTGGGTGAGAACTTAACAGAGTTACCTTCAACCTGAACCAGAGGACAAAATAGGTTAATAAAGTAAGGCCATTTGGGGAGAGCAGATCAGGCTGAAATTACGGGCTCGTGCACATGATGTTAAAATGAGGTTTATAGTGGTGTGTCCTAAAGCTTGCCGGAAGCTATTAACTGGATGATGGGGGTGGGGTGGGGAGGTTATGTTTACATTGCCTGGGGGGGTGTTTTTCTTTGAAATTATCCGAGGAAAAAGGTTGAGGGTCACAGAAAATACCCTATTAAGGGTTAGTAGTCTGCACTGTGGAGATGCAGGATTAAAGTTACTTCAGAAAGTGTAAGGCCACCTTCCAGCCGGATCTTAACGAAGAGCCAGTTGCTCCTTGACTTCTGAACTTGGCAGTAGACATCCCTTTTTAATCTGAAAGTTCCAAGAGCTGATTTTGTGCTACTTTGTGTCTACTTTTCTGATTAAGCTACTTCATCTGATTGAAGACTTGAGGCTGCATTTGTCCTATGTTCTTAGGCTGGAGGTTCTCTCATCCTTCTCCAAAATATTTGTATTCTATAGACTCCCTGAATTTTGTTGTTATTAAGATTGGAGAGAGGTGGAAAACGAGTGTCAGATTGCAGTGCTGTTAGTGTACTTTCACTAGAAAATGAGGTAGGAAGAATCTAAACTTGTAAGTACTGTGTCCCAAAGTATGTATTTAAGGCTTAGGATTAATCAGCAAGCAAAACAGGTAACTGCCCTTCAGGGATTGCATTCCATTGGGGAAGCAGTCAACATACATTCTCAGCTACCCTTCAGACAACCAGGAATTTTACAGATGAGAATTTGCTCAGAAAATTGTGAATTTGCCAGCCGAGAGCTAGGAATCGAATGTAGTTGTGTCCGACTCCCAACACCAAACTGGCACATAGCCACCTGGCCCCAACTACCATACTTGAGCCTGGACTGGTAACAGCTTTTTTGCTGGCCTCCTTACTGCCACTGTCGCACCATTCCAATGTATTCTTACCAGCTGCAGTAAGCTTTAAAAACAAACTGGATTTTGACCCTTAGTTTCAAAGCCTTTGATAAATTGCCAAACAAATGGGTATATCCACACTGAGTACTACTTGACAATAAAAAGGAACAATGATAAAAGCAACAAGGGATGAGGCTGAATTTCAAACATGCTGAGCAAAAGAAGCCAGACACAAAAGAGCACATAGATGGTTCCATTTCTGTGAAACTAGAACCTAGTGCCAGCAGACTAATGGTAACTTGAGACTAGTGATGGGTGTGGTGGGAGGTTGCCTGAGAAAGGTGTTTACAGAAGTATAAACATTTGTCAAGCTCCAAGCATTTAAAAGTTGTACGTAGGGGGCTTCCCTGGTGGCGCAGTGGTTGAGAGTCCGCCTGCCGATGCAGGGGACACGGGTTCATGCCCCGGTCCAGGAAGATCCCACATGCCGCGGAGCGTGTGAGCCATGGCCGCTGAGCCTGCACGTCCGGAGCCTGTGCTCCACAACGGGAGAGGCCGCAACAGTGAGAGGCCCGCGTACCACAAAAAAAAAAAATAATAAAGGATGATCCTGCTTCCCTACTTCATGAAATGGGTGAAGAAAAATATAATGTGATAACCTGAAAACCATAATTAGGATTATTAATAATAGCTAAAATCTTTGGAGCCTTCCTTGTGAGCCAGACTGATCTCATTTGCTGTCTTGCAGCATCTTAACACTTGCTGCAATTTATCAGTAAATGTTGGAGGCAATATTCAAATCCAGGACCTCTTAAGTTGAGTTTATGCTCTTAATAAGGACTTCACTTGACGGGACTTCTGGGTGAATCTTACTTGGGTGATAGCTTTATTTGTGAAATCAACAAACACTATCTGAGCCTTGAAAACAATTGCAGGCATTTTAGAATATCATTATGGACCCATTTCATTCAAAAGTAATAGGAAAAACAGTACAGAAAATTGTAAGTCTGATTATTGGCCAGGAGATAACTTCAAACACCCCACTTTAGCAGGTAGTAGGCCAAACCCACCTCTTGACTGGGCTGTCAGAGGTCTTTATAAAGCAAGATCAAGCATGGTGATGTCACAGGACCCAAGGGAAGCATATGTTTCGTGGTTGGGCATTGCATACTGTCTTGGGATTTGCTGGTTCTGGCAATGAGAATGGCTAAGTAAATTCAGCCTAGCTCTTCACACAAGAACTTTCTCCATTGCTCAGCACCTAGCTTTGTAAAGGTTTTCTGCACTTGTGTCCAGTGCTGAAACAGAGGCTGTTTAAGATGGCCTCAGCTTTGAAAGGGAACTTAAATAAAATAGCTTGCAGGGAAGCCTGATAATCGGAACAATTGCTGATAGTTCATATTCCATGACTAGGAAGTAGCACTGTTTGACAGTGTCTACCTCAGTTTCACTATACGTGAAATGGGGATATCAGCCATAGCCAGTGACACAGGAAGTTTTTAACCAAATAGTCCGGATTCCTGAGTTTTGCTTTTTGAGCTTGTTCAGTTTCTTTCCCTCTATGACAAACCCTTAGCATCAGGCCAAAGCAGAGCCTAGCTGTCTGGAGGTCTAGACAGTGTGAGACAGTTAACGTGTGACAAGAACACCTACATTTTGAGGTTGGTGGCAAGGACAGGAGTGATTCCTCTGAAGGGGCGGAGGGGGTTAGAAGAGATGCCCTTAGAAGGGACCTGGTTAAAAGAGTCAAACTGCTTAGTGTGCAAAGAGTGGCAAATCTCAGCCTGGAGGCCGGCAAAGGGCCTAGAGTGGTCGCTGACCATAGTCCTGCTGGCTCCTCCCGGGCCTGTATAGCCTGACCGGGCTGGGCTGCAGTGAAGCCTTGGGGACGCTAGGTGGCAGCCGTGCGTTTCCAAAGCTGGCTCACCTACCGGAGAGCCCAGCTGGGATCTCGGGAACCGACCCGGGAGCCCGGGAGGGGGGGGGGGGGGGGGGGGGGGGGGGCTTAAGAGACGCCCTCGAGATCCCCTCCCCTCAACGGCAGGGACGGAGATTGAAAGGGGGCTCACATAGGGTGGCCAGCCGTCCGAGAGGGCGCCTGGGACATGCCACGATCCTGCGTGAACTCACAGAGCGGGTAAAAGCGACCCCCTTACGTGGAGCCGCCCCGAGGGCTGGGCCTGACCCGCCCCTTCCCTGCTCCCCACTCAAGCGCTGGTGGGTGTGAGTGCGAGTAGCGAATGTGGGCGAGCAAGGACGTTCCGCACCTAACTGCGTTCTTGGGGACCGCAGCCTGTCCAGTTCTGGCAGCGTTTGCGCCGTGGCGCGGGGTCATTGCGCCCAGGCGCAGAATTCCGACGGCTTCGAGCGCTCACCAGCTCCAGCCTAGCTGGCTCTGCCCCTTCGGAGCTGCCGGTCCCGTCGCCGAGAGTCTGAGCGCCTCCCTCCAGCCCGGAGCCGCCAGGAGAAGGAGGAGGAGGCAGTGGAGAGGCTGCGGCAGGCAGGCAAGCAGGCAGGGCCGCCTTTGATGTGGGCGCGGCGCACCCAGGCTAGCTGAGCGCCCGTCCGGCCGCGCCCCGAGGGGGGAGCCCCCGGGCCCCGCATCCTCATTGTGCCGGCTCGGGCCCGGGCCCGCCCCCGGCCCCCCGCCCCCTCGCCGCCCGCGCGTAGAAAACGCCCCGGCCGCCGCCAGTGGTGGGAGGTGGCGATGCGCACGGCCGGAGAGACGCGGAGGAGGAGACATGAGCCGGCGGGCGCTCAGACGGAGCGGCCGTGACGCGTTCGTGCTGCAGCCGCGCGCCCCGACCCCGGAGCGCTGACCCCTGGCCCCGCGCAGCCCCGCGCCTCGCCTGGAGAGCGCACCCCAGCTTCCAGCCCCGCCACGCATGCTGCCCCCGGAGTAAGCAGGGCAGCCAGCCTCCCGCAGACGCCCGGACGGCCGGACGGCCGGCCGGCAGTGAGCAAGCTTTCTCGCACCGGCCGGTGCCTCCTGCACAGCGGCGGCCGCCCCGCAGCCCCCGCTCCAGCCCGGAGGGCGCAGCGCTCGGGAGGAGCCGCGCGGGGCGCTGATGCCGCAGGGCGCGCCGCGGAGCGCCCCGGAGCAGCAGAGTCTGCAGCAGCAGCAGCCGGCGAGGAGGGAGCAGCAGCAGCGGCGGCGGCGGCGGCGGCGGCGGCGGAGGCGCCCGGTCCCGGCCGCGCGAAGGGGACATGTGCAGGCTGGGCTAGGAGCCGCCGCCTCCCCCCCCGCCCAGCGATGTATTCAGCGCCCTCCGCCTGCACTTGCCTGTAAGCGCCCGCGTGCGGGGCTGCCCACCCTGCCTGGACGTCTGTCCGTGTGCCTGTGGCTCTGTCTACCCGCCCGGCCGTTCTTCTGACTTTCCGACTGCGTATCTGTCTGTCTATACGCGGGTTCCCCTCCCTCCAGTCCCACTGACTGCCTCTCCATCTCTCTCTCCCGCAGGTGTTTACACTTCCTGCTGCTGTGCTTCCAGGTACAGGTACGTGGGCTTCTGACTCTGACCTCCCCCCCCACCAGCCCCTGTCTCCCGGTACGTGTCTACCCCCCCTCCCCCGGGCCGCGCCCCCTCCCTGTGCCCCACCCCTCCTGGGCGCCGAGCCCAGTGCACCTGTTCCCAGGGCGCGGAAGGGTGGCTCCAAATGCGCCCAGCGCGGGCGGGGGACCGGCCAAGGGCAAGGGGCTCTGTTGCGGGACTCAGGCTGGCGCGGGCTGCCACGGCCCCTGTCGGCTTCGGCTGGGAGAAGATGCTCGGAGCCGGCGGCCTCAGCCGCTACAATGTGCCCGGCTCCAAGCCCCCCCCTTCCCCCCGACCCCGCTTCCCCGCCCGGCCCGTAGCCGGTGAGGAGTCAGGACGTAGGGATTTTCTCTGCCAACCGTCCCTTAACATCTCCGTTCGCTCTTCCAAACAAAAAGGCTCCTTTCAACCGAGTGGATTTGGAGTCCAGGGAGAAAGCTTCAGTTGTAAATTACTCTGTGGTTTCAAAGGCGTTTGCAGCATTGAGAGAAAGACAGAGAGGGAGAGAGAGAGATGTTGTGCTAGGAGGGGAGACTGGGGTGAGAGCGAGCAGAGCGGGGCGCCTGGGCCGAGGGACCACTGCCTGCGAGGCGGCTCCGGAACGGGCCGCGCTCCGCAACGCACACCCTTGCCCAAGGTAGTGCAGCCCTCAGCTGGTTCCCCGCCTAGCTCCCCGCTCGCTCGCTCTCCTGAATCAGAAGAGGGCTTGGCGCTCAGCCTGGAAAGCACTTGCTAAAATCTGATCTGTTACTTCAGCAGCTTTCAGACTCGGGAAGGTCTTGGCACGCAGACAGTTGGAACACTGGGGCTTCCAAAGCCGTGGAAATGAAGGAAAAGGGTTGGGGGGCGGGGGGAGGGAAAGAGAAGAGGGACTGAGGGAGCTGACTTCAGCCCCGATTAGAACCAGACCAGGCTGCCTCAGCTTGGAGGGGGGGCGCAAAGGGAAAGGGAATAGGAAGTACCAGCTGCCCTAGCCCTCCGCCACCTAGTGCTCTGACGGAGGCGCCCTAGGAGGAGCTGGGCTGGGGCCCAAAGAGATTATGGGCCAAAAGAGCCCCTTCCCCCTCTGGGTTGAAGGCAGGTGTCCTCACAGGGTTCCAGAGGATGCTTGGGCCTTAGCTTTCTGGATTCCCGAGGTGCCCAGGGACAGCACCGAGCAGGCAAAGTGGGGGTTCTCCCAGGTGTGTGTGCTGAGCGCTGTTGAGACTCACGGGTCTCTTGCGGAGGGCAGCTGCGGTGGTGGTGGGACTGCTTATCTCCCCTCCCACTCCTAAGAGAGAGCTGTTACCACCGGGATGGACATTGAGGTGAGGGCAACTAGTTGGGACTGGGGGCTGGAAGGATGGATGGACAGACTGATGGGTTCTTTCCTTCTGTTGGCCAGGCTGGGGTCCCTGGTGACTCCTTGAATCAATACAACTGGAGTCAGTAACTTAAGGCTGGCCGTTTGCCAAAGCAGATGTGACCCTGTGTGGTTGCAGGGGGCAGGGTGGGGAATGGCTGGTGTCAGAGAGAGAGGCCAGTGCCAGGCGTAGCCTGCTTGGTTTGCAGCTGAGTCCCCAAGCAGAGGGCAGGCCCCAGGGTCACCCCAGGGGACTGCCTGTCTGACCTGGGGGACAGCTCTTTTCCTGAGCGCTGAGCCTGGGGCCGGGGACGATGAAATGGGCATAAAGTAGAGAGACGGTTTCAGACTTTGTGGCCCAGGCCTCTTATTGCCTGCTGCCTCTTGGTCCTTGAAGTGGGGCCCAGGAGGGGCTGCTGTGTGGTCTTTGTGTTCTGCGTGGGGGGGAATGTGAGGGAGGGAACCTGGACTCTGCATCCCACCTCCAAGTCCTGGCCAGAGCTAGAGCCAGCCTGTGGCGGGGGGGGCGGGGAGGGGAAAGCTGGGTGGGCCGTCTGGGTTAGGTCCATTGGGGTTACGCCTTCAAGCAGGTGAGGGAGCCTCCTCTCCCCCCCGCCCCACCTCCCCCTTCCTTTGCAGCCTTTCCCGTTGCAAACTGCCTTAGGACTGACTGATGTTTTTAACCCATGATCCATGTACCCTTAGGATATCTAAGGATGGGATTATGGGGGAGGGGTGGTCCCTGAAACACTGTGCAAAACGGTGCCCATATACGCAGCGTATGGGAGACAGTTCTCAGCTCCCCACAGATTTTTGAAAGTACCCATGATTGCTGAAAGATAAAGCAACACTACCCTAGGGAGTTATAGACAAAGTTGGCAGGCTCACATCCTCCTTTATGCTCGAGGGACAAGGTGGAGTGTTAGTTAGAGGTAAAGATGAGAGGTGGGACCCTTGTGCTAGTTGCGGGAGTCTGGAGTCTGCTCCCCACTGAGGTGATGGGCCAGCACCGGGAGAGCAGCTGCTTCCTGGACAGGGTGCCTTTGGAGGGTGGTAATGAGAGCACCCTTGGTGAGCAGGGCCCAGGGGAGGCTCCCTGCACCGTGGGAAGGGCTCAGGGCTTTGCCATCCTGTGGACTGCACCTGAACCCCAGCTCCATCTTTCCCTACATGTAGACCTCTGCGAGACTTAGCTTCATTTGTGACATGGGTGGCCCCGAGGATGAATGGTATATGATAGGCGTGGAAGAGGTTTTGCGAATTCTCATCCCCCAGGAGCACGTTGCTCTGCTGGGAACTCTATACACCTATGCCCTTCCTTCCCCCGCCTCCGTGTTTTGGGGAACTGGTCCAGTCCTAGCAACAGAGTTTCTGGGCTCCTCCTCTCTTTCCATCCATCATCAGCCACCAAACCCCAAATGGGCCCCTTGCCCCCAGCCACATCTCTGTGAACACAGTCAATGCCAGACACTGCCCGCACCCCCCCCCCCCCCGCCCCCCTCGACAATGTGGTGAGCCCCGCCCTCCCCTGCCAGCAACCCTGGGAGCGGGAAGCTGGGAATTTAATAAAATCCCTTCTCCACACGACTTGGGACACCGTGGATAGCTCAAATCGGAAGAATTTTAAAAATTTCCAAGGGGAGCAAGCGGCGTGACCAGTAAATTGCTTTTCTGCACTTGGCTGAGCGCTGACAATGACACCGGGCTGGGCCTTTCACGCAGCTCGGCCGGCACCTGCCTGACATTGTTCCTGCCGCCAGGCTCGGCTAGGTCCTGGCCTTCCCCAGACAGGCCGGGCGTGAGGCGGGCCAGGGCAGGGGGGCCTTCCACTGGCCCCTCGGTCCCTCCCTCCCACAGCGCTGCTTCCTCTCTCACCGCACTTGCTCAAGTTTGGAAGTTTCCTTCCATGCCTTCTCTAAGGCTAACCACCCCCATGCCTGGCCTCTTCAGTGGGGTGTAGAACCTCTCTTCGAGCTTGCTAGGATGGGGAAGCCAGAGACAGAGTCCTCTGGGACTCGAAGAGGATGGGACGCTGTCCTATTGGATTGTACTTTTAATCTGTTCATCAAATACTCGCTGGGAGCCTGCTTCTTGCTGCCCCTGGAACATGACTAATCCGTTCCTGGCCTCAAGGAGCTCCCAGTCTAGAGAGGGAGAGTGCCAGATAAACAGGAGTTCCTTCAACCCCACCCCTCCTGTCCCACGCTGTGAAGTGTTGAGAGGTAGAGAGCATCCTCCAGCCTGATGGGGGTGGGGGCAGGGGAGGGGGTGGGGCGGGAGGGGGGAAACCAAGGCTGGGGAGAAGTGACCTGCGTTTGGTGAGAAGGTGCTACTTGTATGAATTTCCAAGGGGCTCTTGCATCAGGAAGTTCCTTTCATCCTTTCTACCATTCTACGAGGGAGACTGGAGTAGGAGGAATATTATCATATTCCTACCTCACAGATGGAGAAACTGAGGCACAGGGCGGGGAAAGGATTTTTCAAGGCCATGGCTAAGACCCAAGACTGTGAAATCGAGACCTTGTATCCCTTCCAGCACACCAGGCAGACTTTTTCAGAAACACTGCAGTTGTTCAGAAGGGATACTGATAGGGAAATGGAGTCTCAAGAGGCATGCTAGGGGCCCTTAGTGAGAGATCCGGTTGGATCCCCCGATAGGATCCCTTATCAGGGGATGATCAGAGGCCAGGTGGGCGTCTCTGTGGTTGAGGGCATCTGACTTGGTGTCTGCAAGCCCTGATCTTCCTGGAATGTTCTGGTCTAAAAGGGTTTCAGAGCCAGAGGTGGGTTTGGTTTTTTGGGGGGTAGCAGGGCCTAGGGGATTCAGCAGTCTCCTTCCAGCTTCTTTCCCAGCATGGAGGGAGATGGGGGCACCCTGCCAGCCTTCCTGCAGCCCAGGAGTGTCACCTGCTCTCAGGCAAGGAGGTGGATTTGGAACATTTCTTGTGGTTGGTGCAGCCAGTTTCCAGCAGGCTCTGGGCAGCGTGTCAGGGCCACAGCGTTGCCTCCTTGTAGCCCTGGGTGGCTGGGAGGGCACATTGGACCCCCAAAGGGAGATGGCTGGGGACAGGAAGAAGAGTTTCTGTCCTCAGTAGGATCTTTTGGTTCTGACCTCGTCCTGTAGCAGGGAAGTTGTTGGTGTGGGAAATCAGGGTGTAGGCCCATCAGGGTAACAACTATACTGGTAGATGCCGCCGGGTATTGCGGGCTCGTTCCGTGGCTGACGCTTTCTCACAGCATCTAGGCTGTGCCTCACAACCAGCCTGGAATTAGGGAATTCTACAGATGAAGAAAGTGAGGCTCAGAGACATAAAATAATCTGCCTTTGTTTGCACAGCAGGAGAGAGAGGCAGAGTGGGATTCAACTCTAGCTTGCCCACTCTAGGACCCAGCCTTATTAAACAGCACTTTAAAGGCTCTGGAATCTGCCAGGCTGGTTCAAAGAGTTGCTCTGCCTTGTCTTTGCTGTGTGACCCTGGACAAGTTACTTAACCTCCCTGGGTCTCAGCTTCTGCACGCATAAAATGGGAAGAAAACAACCAACAAGACAACTCCTACTTACTAAGGGTGTGGAGCAGGCGAGAGTGCAGAACCCAGGGCTCTGAAATCTTGTCTGCCTTTC